AATACCTAAGCCTAATATCGAGGATTTCTATGATGAGGCTGTATGGGGAGAGACGAAGCTGAACGAAACGGCACTACTTGTCAGAAAGCTGAAGTGTTATTACAACTTAGTGATACCTGGAAATACGTGGCTGGGTAAAGAGTATTGTGCCTAAGGACAAGTCACTAGTCTGTAGATTCACGATGAGAACCAACTCTTATAAATACCTGTTAGTAGTAGCTAGAGTTCTCTTTTCTCCTAATATAGTTTATTAAAACTATTTATTCATCACCAACTTGGTTTCTGTCACAGTTACGCGTCGGTCGTGGCTCCGCAAACGACGAAGACGGCGCTACGAATAAGAATCGATGGTGCTCAAAACTTACAGCCACAAGAGCTGCTTACAAAGGCACAACAACACATTAAAGGCGCATACGCGATTCGCCAAATGCGAAGCAACGACACCGAGGTGTTTGTCCAGTCGGCGTCCCAGAGAGACGTGGCGCTAAATATGCGACAACCAACGGACTTCAAAATTCTACGGCAAGATTTTCCAGTCGAGGTAGACGGTGTCCCATTGCGGACACGAATTGAAGGGGGCAGAGATGCCAATAATTTTGCTATCATCAGGGAGATAGAGACGGCAACAAAGGCACGGATTCCAGGCTTAGTGATAAGCCGTATAAGGTGGTTACACGACGGAAAGGAACACCAGCGGTCAAAGAAAAATGGCCGCACTCGTGGATCAATAGTGGTAAGCCTCCCATCGGAGGCAATGCAGACGGAAGTGGTTCGAAACGGCCTTGTGATGAACGCCATGCTTTACACCGCGCAGGTGTGGTCACCACGGTCACAGCCAAAGCAGTGTTACAACTGCAGCCAGTGGGGACACACACAGGCGTCGTGTGGAAAGGCAGCCAGGTGCGGTGAGTGCGCTGGCGCTCACCAAACTCGGGACTGTCCGAGGAAAAGGGTTTCTTGTGCTAACTGCGGCAAGGAGCACCGTTCGTGGCAGAAAGCAGCGTGTCGGACCTACCAGGTCTACAAGGGAAGTGTGGAGAAGGCTCGGATGGAGCTATTATCGAGGACGGCGGAAATATGGAACGAGAAGCCTACGGTGGCGCCAATGCGAACAGTCGAAACGACTGATGATCAGGGATTCACTTTGGTCTCTAGAAGAAGAACTGAAGGATCTCAAAGAGGGCCAGGACAACCACGCAAAGTAGTCGAAGCCCCAGGAGCACCAACCATCCCCACGACAGCAGCTCCACCATCGGGGCCAACTCTTCGGACACTTGGACGACCAACGCCGAGTGAGGAGGTGCCTTCTCTTTTTAATTTCTCATAACGATGGTCTGATTGAAGGGGGAGTTAACGAATTTCGAGGGAAGTTTACATAATTATGGTTGAAAGGAACGTCCTCAGCATTAAGCCGGGACGGTTCATAGTGGCGAGACATCGGGTATTGTCTGTTGAAAGCTTTTTCCCTGACCAAAGCGGCTTACCGTCTGCATGATTCTGTATATAGAAATTGCATAGGACGTTAAACTAGAGAAATTCCATTCAATTCTAAAGAGGATAGGAGCACTGTAAAAGTTGTTGACTGGGCCAGAAAGGAGCCTAATTTGCTAGATAGTCATAGGCTCAAGTAGCACAATAAACATAACATACAACATTACATATAAAGAGGGCAAAGACTGAATAAATTTACGCGCTGTTCTATACGGAACTAGGAGTGGAATATTCTCCCAGAGCCAAGTTCAGTCGAATTTTGCAATATCAAACGAGTTGGCTCACGAGGCAATGAATCACTCCTCCAAACCAAATCAATATCTCGCTCCCAGCAAGATCGATTCCTACCGAACCCTCATCAAGCCTGCAAGTACGACCAAGTACATCCTCATCTCCATAACCGCTTCTCTCATCGACTATTTTATGGTCTCAGCTGACCAAGAAATATACGCCCACGACGATATTTTCAAGCGCCGGAGGGAACAAAACGTGGCACTCAATTCTGGGAGGCAGATATTCGGGATGGACGTGAGAGATTTCGGGATATATATGAAGGATAATGTAAACGAAGGATACAATCTCGGATGGGATAATGTATCGATTTTTGGACAAGAATTCTTGAAACTGAGCGTGATGCCCCACGCGACTTCGATAGCGAGAGTGCTGGCGACACTATAAACACCACCATGGCTGGATGGTGCGTTGGTACATCGTCTGCGCCGGTCTCCCGAGGAGAGTCTGGATAGCTTGGAAACATATCCCCATCGAGACACTAGATCGCTGGTTCGAATCCGACAAAACACATCGACATTTCTCGCCGTGCCGTTATACATGGATGACGAGGGCATGCTTGCATAATCCAAGGCTTACTTGATAAAAGTCATGTTGGTATTGTACAGCTGCACTAAGCCTGTGTGAGGTTTCAACATGTTCTGCGCAAATAGTTAGGAGAAAACTAAGCACGTGATATAATCCAAATGTGGGTAGTGCTGAGTAGTCTTCTCCATGAGGCGACGAGGCATCTTTTGCCATTACCTGCACTACAGTTCCGCCTCTCTTCTGACCCAATTGATCATATCGACTAAATGCGTTACCATTTTCCACAACTTAACTGGAGTTGGATTTCCCTATGGTGGATACTCACGGAGGAGGGTCGACTGGCTGTGTAGTAAAACATAAGTCAATGTGGTATTTGCAAATGAAAGACGGAATATTAGTATCTCTAACGATGAAAGCGTCATCTAATATGTGCACATAGCATTGGCCATTTGTCTTAGCTAGATACCTGAATATAAATTAAATTGTCTTTTAAAAATGGAGGTAAGGCCATCCCATGAGTTTCCGGAGCGTACCCAGCACCCGATTCGGAGATGGCGGATTGGATCAAGTTGGCCTCTAGTGTTACAAAGAAGGGGGATAAGGATGAATATGTACATCTTATGTGGTCTTGGTATCTAGGCCTCGCCTGGCCAGGGCTGCAGGTTTTTTGAGACTTTTTCCCGCGCACGCAGTTGCCATTGCTGCCATTTTTATTTTTTTGGGTAGAAGGTTCCGTGGAAAAGGTGGGCGAATTCCACGGGTAAATACTGAGCTGAATGGCTACTCATCACGGGCAATATATCAATGATCTTTCAAGAAAGATAAGAAGCAAGGAGCACTGTTCAAGGTGTGGCCTGGGTCAGAGAGGAGCCCAATGTGCTAGGTAGTCTCTGACTCAAGAAGAACAATAAGCACATCACGCTTCACGTGATGTTGGGTGAAGCTCACAATAAGTCTTTTGCCGTTTTCGAATGAGCGCGAAATGACAGTGGAGAGAGCAGATATCCAATGTATCCGCAATTTCCGGGTTGGATGGTGCAGTGGTACACCACCCGGTCCGCTCTCCCAAGTAGACACTAGGTAGCTTGAACACTCACCCCATCCGAGACAGGAGAAAGCTGGTTCGAATCCAGTTAGACCCACACACCACTCACTCTCTCGCAGTGATATCGTACTTGTGGGATAATGAAAGCGCACTCGGATAGCCACAGGGTTTTCAGGCTTTTCCCTGTAGTGGGTATGCACGGAAGAGGTTATACGCCGTAAGGGTTAACCTCGAGTGGTATCTGCAAATGAAATCTGAGTGTGAGTGCTCTAAATGACAAATTGAGTGATCCTACTTAAAGCACATATCTTCCGATGAAAACCTGCATGGGCTTCAGGGCGCCACGTCAAGATAATGAATTATATATATCCGCAATTTCCGCTTAGTGCAGGCGCAGGATGATCAACTACAACAATACTTGTCCATTTCATGCCTGTGACTCCCTGAAACCGAGCCGTGATGCGCGCAAAGCTCTTCGATGGCACACTTCCTTCACTGTAATTATTGATAGTGCAGCTATTTGGATTTGCTCTCATCAATGAAGTTGCGCGCATCTTGTTCGAGCTTGTTATTAGTTCAGGCCAGATCCCTTATTCGTTGTACAACTAGAGACGAGGCTTGAGTCAGTTTGGATCTCATCATTCGCCGACAAATCCAGACGCAGATTTATCCGTATTATCTCTGGCATGACCCAGTATGCTGAGTCGGTGGATAATTGCTTCCGGCTCTAGGTTCTTGATTTATTTCGGTTGTCGAGTCGGCTCCGGATAACCCTTTCTCTTGTAGTTCAAATGTATTTATCATAGTACTTGTAGTACATTAGTAAGCCATCCATCGCTTCTAACTATGAAAATATAATCCCCCCAACCTTCGACATCCTACCACTTCAGAGAGTGACTCCATCCTAGTATAGTTTTATTTAACTCGAGTCCATCCGCAAGATTTGCCTAGGTACATGTTATTGCCACGAATAATACTCTCCTACGTATATTCTTATTGAAGTGTTCATGCACTTGGGGAAACTTGAGTCAAGAGACTTGAAGATACTTGTGGTCATCTAAATTAAGGTATATCTAGATACACTGTAAACTGGACCTTGCTCCAGATTGACCTTCTTGGGAGCGAGTAATTCACGGAGTAGGAAGTCTTGAAATATTGCCTAATGACCCAATTCACTTTATATTGATGATCTTGGCCCTTGGCAAACATTTAATGGCTGAGGATTTGCGTTTGACGGCATGTCGAGGAGCAATCCACGTCAAGTGCTAATCAGAGTCTGGTTTGATAAAGACTCTTGTTCACCAAGAAGCACAGGAATTTAGACCCAAATGTAGCCCGAGTAAGTACTTGAAATGATAATCTAGGATGTACCAAATGAATCTATGGCTTACACGGGATTAAAGCATTAAGATTGCTGTGCCTAACGCCCGCTTCGGAAGAATGTCTACCTTATCCCAAACTGATTAACGTCTGAAATTTTCATTCCAAAGTACGCTACGGCGAATGATAAATATCGTTCTAATACAAAAGGGTAGACCTATGGGCATCTATGTCTAGAACTTCTTTTAAACTTTATTGTATATTTCCGAGTTCTCCAGTCTCCTAGAAACATGCTAATGAGTCACAGAAGTCTCTAGAGTTTGAAATGGTTACAGTGTGTGTTGCTGCGTTTCTTCTGTCAATTTTGAACCCTTACATTGCGGATCGCATGGTTTTGGTCGAATTATCAAAGGCTCGTACATATGTCCACCGCGAGATAAGTACAGCGAATCAGTTCCCCATGAATAAGCCTAGTAAAGATATTTATATGATTAAAAGCGACATTAAAAGGCCTGGAACTTCTTACGCAATTTATTGCTCGCAGAAATTGGATGGGCGAACTTTAATGGACGGACTTCTCAATCAATTAATTCCTTTCACTGTTGACAGACGAATTAAAGATCAGCGTAGAATTAATCCAGAAAATCCATGTCTTTCGCAGCTTTCAAGTATGGCCTTGAAAAAGAACTACAATCTTATCTTGACGAGCGAAATAATAAACAACAATGTTTGCACGGGAAGAAATCTGATGGAGCTGGCTCTGCACAAATATATCCATATCCATGAATATCGTACCAATGGGAGTGAGGAAAGACTAAAAAAAATTCGGGTTTATTTTGACGTAGGGATGGAAATTGAGTTTGGCGAAGGACAGGTTTACTTTGAGGGCAAAAAAGTAAATAATCAAACTGAAGATGAGATTTTAATATGGTACCTAGGCTACTTACACGTACTTCGCCGCAGAATAAAAAGAGGGGGGTGGTATGCAAGCACCTCTCTAACATCAATGGATTTGAATGGATATGATATATCTAAATTTATCCGGCGAAACAGCCCTCCGTTCAAGAGGTTCGTCGAAACTTGGGAGTTCTTAGGAACTCTAGTAGACGAAAGGAAAAATTATCCGGGCTTAACTGAAAAGGAATTAACGAAAGAGAGGCAACGAAAGATATCTCATGAGAAGATAGAGAGACTAAAATTGGGTAATCTTAAGCCGTCAGATGTCCATGGTACTATAGTAAGCTTTACATGGTTTGGGGATCGTGATCAGACGTTGTTTTGGTAATAAGAAGTGCAGAAGTCATATTGCGGAGTAGTGAGGAGTGGATGATGTTGTATTTTGTGGGTGAAATTGAATAGAATCATACAATACTATGCTGTAGGTATATAAACATTAAGTACAAGAATAATCCTGGAATTATTTATAGTGGGTAAATCTATGCAACTATATGCATGCTCGCCATAGTTTTTCCACACTTGTCCCTGTGGTGGGTATGCACGGAAGAGGTTATACGCCGTGAGGGTTGACCTCGAGTGGTACCTGTTGAAAATAAACTAAGAATGTGCAGAGCTCTTCGAGTGATCACGGAGAAATAACGAAGTATAAACTTCAAAGGGTATCCGTAGATGTGAATTATGTTTATAGTAAAGGCTTGATAGAAACTCTTGATCTTTAGTAAGGATAAAAGACTGTTTATATAAATTGATGTCCGACAATGACATGGGCTAGAGCGTAATGCCTCATTACGAGATACAACGGAACAAACTTAAGATCTGATACCAGTTACGCGTATTCTCGTCGCAGTCTTGAATATCAGACGTGACAAAAGATAATGGTGTAACTATTAGCGGATAGGCGAAACCCGTCAGTCTTCATGGATGAGGTTTCTTGTGCACGTTAGTAAGAATAAAATGACAAATGTTGACTGTGAAATTCACGGATGTCTCGTGGCCCCGACTACGACAATCTATATGTGTGTAGAGCTTGAGACTAGGTATAAACTTGTATTTCTATCAACATTCTAACTCCTCCTTAAATACATGAAATCCTCCATACTCCAGATAATGTAACGATCAATGATACATGACAAGTAAACTATCAGGATACAGTAGGGGAGGAGTGAGGTGCTTAGCCGCCCGAATTGTGAGCAAAGAATGCGAGGGGTGCATTCTTGATGGAACCTTAAACTCGGCGGCTCGCTTGCCGTGAGACTTGGCCTTTCGCTCGGACTTGGAATTCAGGATCCACATGGATACATACTGAAACCACAAGCATGGAGAGTGTCTAGGTTGCTTTTGCAACAGTATCTGCAAATGAAATCTGGGTGTGAATGTTCAAAATGTCAAATTGAGTCGTCCTCCTTAGAAGAAATATCTTCTGATAACAACCTGCATGGGCCTCAGGGCGCCAAATCAGGAAAATGAATAATTTATTTTATTAATATGCATGCATGCTCGCATAACCATTACACTAGCTATATAAGCTGTGGCCTTGTATCGCACGCAATATCTTAGCCTTGGCATGTCCATACATAGTTACAGACTTTTTAAGAAAATAAGCAGCCACTCACTCACTCACTCTTAGCCTTGGTTACTTCGTCGTCTCATAACATATAGATTGTCAAGGGATGGAGTGGATTGTGGTATCGTATGGTCACGTGCTATCACGCGTCTGATGTGCGATTCACGATGTATATATATTTATAAGACTCCTTAGAAGTCACCTTTCCTCTTTACAGACAATCTCAATCACCAGATTAGACCTCGTCAATCTATCCTATGACCTTTACCCTGACATATTGTCTACCAAATCATCTGTATTTACCGCCCACGCGCGTAAATTCTACACCCATCCCAATTAGTCGGCTTCAATTCAGATTGTTCTAAGGGTGCAATTCGTACTGAAATTTACACATACCTAACACGAAGATGTGTTGAAGTACAGGGCTAATTCTAGTAATCAGGATTAAAATGTGTCCTTTATGATGTTTAGACCCACTATTGTAGTATATATGTAGCGAAGCTCCCCGAGTCCTTAATAGAAATCAGTTGAACCAGTATATTCTTTTTACAAGATGCACCTAAAAGTAGACTATAAAAGACTATTATCAGAATGGATAGAAATTCTCAAAATCATGTGCTGCCCAACAACGGCCAACCCCCATCAATTCATCGACCAGAATGTAGACTTTGTTCAAATGTACCCTCTCCTCGACTTCGTCCTAAACCAAGAAATGTTTCTCAACGCTATGCAAGGGCGTAACGCTGTAGTTAGCCCTATTATTCTTAGTCATGAACTTTGCTAGTTTAAGAATGACTATGACACATTGCTTGAAAAGAATCATGAACTCTCTAATGTAGTCTCTGATTTTAATACAAAACCCACTACCACTGAAAGAAAAACTTCAAAGCATTGTATCTACCGGTCTGCTCAACACCCTAATCCAGATGTATTTTCTGCGGATAACGTTGATACCCACAAAGAACTTCCTATATTTATCCAAAAAATTAATATGAAGTTTGTTGCAAACAAGGACTGGTACCCGTCTAAGCAAGCTAAGATACTTTATCAAATTTCTCGCCTCAAGGGAAAAGCGTACTCTACTATTTCTCACGGTATAAACCGAAATGGTTCTATCAAATACTGATCTGTTGATGATATTTTTGTCCTACTCGAACAAGTATTTGGGAAGATTGATCCTTGTAATGCTGTTCGTAGGAAAATACTTATCATTAAACAAGGCCAGAAAGACACTGCCTCTCACCTCATTGACTGGTATGAGGTCGCTCAAAAAGCTGAGCTCTCTGATGATGCCTTTATTAACCATTTATACGATTCTCACCACCCAACCGTTGTTACTCATCTTTAAAATCGTGTGATGTTACGCCAAGAATTACCGACGGATCTCACATCATATTCAATCGAGGTTCGCCACATTGGTGCTGTTCTTCGTTCATCTGATCCTGAATACACGAAAGCCCCTGAAGTTCTATCTCTAATGTCGAGAAAAATGATTGACTCAAGCGTGTCTAAAAGCACTCAATCTGCTACCTGGTCTCCAATTGACAATGAAAACCACCGAATTCCACGAAATGATAAAGAAAGGAGAGCTAAACCTAAATACTGCTTTGAAAATAAACTTTGTAGCTTTTGCTTTGACCCTAGCCATGATGCTCGAATCTGCCCAAAAGCTCACTGGAATCAGGATAAAAGAAGGTATAACAACAATAAGATTTTTGACCAGGACGAAAAAAGCTTAGATCCCAATCTTTCCCGGAATCAAGCATCAATTAAAGAGCAGCAAAAAACTAAGTAAAAAATACCAGAGAAAGAACAGGTTTCCTTGCATAACAGTAAAGAAGGGACACAAATCTTGTCCCTTTCAACACCCCATAACGATCACCTTCTACTCTCCTGTAATGTTCCTGGAAACAAATTTAACTTCTCCACGCAGGTATTCCTTGACTGCGGTGCCACTGACGAATTTTATTACTGTAACTCGGCAAAAAGACGGAACATCCCACTTATACTACTTCCATAACCCCGTCATCTCTTTCTCGTGGATGGAATACCAACTGCTAAAATAACCCATTCAACTACCATTAATCTAAACATCGGAGGCCATGAGGAATCCATCTCGAGGAGTGTGTATACTATTTGTCCACAGGGTACGAGTGTGAGTTAACTGAGAGTCAAGGTCTTCCGCAAGAATAGGAAGAGAGCACCTCGTCATCTGATGCGAGTACGGGATCGAAGTGGTCTTCACAAGGAAGAGATGGAATATCTAGATTGAGGATAATATTGAGAAGACGTTGCGTGAGGAAGGCAACTCGACTGGAGGCTACGCTTTATTGTGTACATGCTCGTAGTTCACTGTTACGTTACCTTTCCCTACCCAGGCCTGCTAGATTTGTATGCTAATACTAAACCATCATTCTAACCCCTGTTATTATTCCGTGAAAATCTATAACCTTTTTTATCACAAATCTAGGAAAATATGAGCTGATTCTTGGACGGAAGTGGCTTCGGAGGCACAACCCCTCGGTTAACTGGACAAATGATTGTGTTTTTTTGCTCAGACTATTGCAAAGAAAACTGCTTCCCAATTGGCATTGAAAAATTAAATGTATCAAGTGTTAAAATTAGAGCTCATAATTCACTAGCCAAAAATAACACAAATAGAAACGGGCGCCTAAGAAAGGTTGGAACTGCAGCTTTTCATGCCCTCTCAAAGCAAAATGGTGTCAAGATATTTTCTCTTTCCTTAAACGAAGTTGATAGTAGATTGAAAGAAATGAGGAGCGAGCCTAATGGCTCAGCGCAAATGACTCCTCAAAATTCCTCAGCAATTCGGATTACACCAACTCAAAAAATGTTCCGGGAATTACCCCTGTCAAGCAAATCCCTTAAAGAGAAGTCGAACTCTTGCTTCGAAGCTCCTGAATCAAATTTAGCAGGATTTTCACTTGAAGACATTCAAATTGCGCTCCAGACAAAAGAGTGACCCAACCCTGCAAGTAAACTTCCGGCACACTATCACCATCATTTGCCTGTTTCTAGTCACGAGGGTGCCGACTAGCTTCCCCCCACCGCAACTGTGACCACAAAATTGAACTCAAGCCTGGTACAGTGCCCCCTCATGGCCCTCTATATAACATGTCTATAGATGAGCTAAAAGTGCTACGCAAATATCTTGATGAACAACTAGATAAAGGTTTTATTTGTACTAGTAAATCACCAGCAGCAGTACCAGTACTTTTTGCCAAAAAGCCTGGAGGCGGCTTAAGATTTTGCGTTGATTTTGCGTTGTAACAGTTGTGAATTGTACTAAGCATGCGCTCGCCTGATCATACTCATCTTGATCTGGTTAGGCTCAACTGATATTCTTCCGGCCTCGGCACACAGCTTGTATGACAATTTCGTGTACATACAACTTTCTCTCTTTAGATTAAATATAGCTCATGATTCAGACCCAAGTATATCATTCTTAGCTTTCCTCTGAAAATCGTGGACTTAACGCTATAACCATTAAAAATAGATACACCCTCTCCTTAATACAAGAAACCCTTGCTAGACTTAGTAATACCAAATACTATACAAAGCTAGATATTATTGCGGCATTTAATCATATTCGAATCGCCGAGGGTCAGGAATGGATGACAGTGTTTAACACACAAAATGGCCTTTTCGAAACACTTGTAATGCCCTTCGGATTATCAAACGCACCAGCTACCTTTCAAGCTCACATAAATAATATCTTGCTACTGTACCTCGATGTTTTTTGC